TTGATATTGGTGCAATCCATTCACTCCATTATGTATCATTCCGAAACTCTTATCCATATAATAGTTATTATTTAATATATTAATAATAATTATCACAACAATGAATATTATTAAAACAGAAAATGAAACTCTGGGAAATAGTATTTGTGTCCTTGATCGTCGTAGAATCATTTTTTTGTGGTGATTCTCGTTTCTTGATTACAAAATTACATTCTTGGTGGTGTGAAAGATTTTTATGATTATTGTAAAGTTGTTAAATAAATCATCAAATTTAGTAATTGTAAACTCAAAAACCCACATGTATCAGCTTATACTTTCAACTAAAGGAATTTTGAAATATCAAGTGCAGTCAACTGTTTCTATACCAACGCACTAATCGAATGCGCATAATAATTTGTACACCCTCATTAAGATGAAACCTAGGTGGTTCCAACTTGTATCACATATCGGCCAATTCAAAACTCTAAATCCCGACTATTCATTTCCTTTAAATTTCACACAAAAAGCCGAAATACTAAATAAATCTCATAAAAAAATGTCTCAACAAGTAATTGATCTCAACAAGCAACATTTCGACAAGATGGCTCTCGATTGGGGAACCAATCCAATCTTTGCCGAGATGAGTAGAAAATTTGCAACTGGTATTATGGAAGAATTGAGAAAACACCTCACGAATCAATCATCAATGCAAGTGATGGATTTTGGTTGCGGAACTGGAGCTCTTTCATTGTATCTATTGAATGAATATGGACAGAGTGTTGAATGTTTGGATGCAGTAGATGTGAGTGAAGGCATGTTGAAGCAATTTGCTGAAAAGAAGGAAAAATTGGTCGGAGAAGGCATGTTGAATGGTAACTTGTTGCAAATTCATAATTTAAATTTGACCACGGATGATCATGCACTGATTGGAAAGAAGAATAGTTATGATTTGATTGTGTCCTCCATGTGTTTCCATCACTTGCCAAATATTCCAGAAAAACTCAAGCTTTTTGCTTCCTATTTGAAACCTTCTGGAAAACTTGTCTTTTTGGATATGGACAAGGATTTTCCACTGATTGAAACATTCCATCCAAGAAATATGGGTGATGAATTGCAATATGAAAGCGGATTCTCTGAGGCAGAGTTGAGAGAGTGGCTCGATTTGGCTGGCTTTGAAAATCATCAATTTGCTAGAAATGTCACAATTGAAAAGAAGGGATGGGACGATGTGATGAGAAGTTACACTCTCATGACCACTACTTCATTTAAAAAGTAATATATTGTTTTCATTTGTGTAAATATCAAAATTTCATCCTGTTTAATGTTTTTTACTCAAATTCCAATTCAATTAATAATTCAATATGTAATAATCAAATTATTCTTGAGCCTTCTTCTTTTGTTTTTGTAACCATTCACGATAATTCTTATCAGTTCCACACAAATAATCCCACCAAGTAAATGTTGAAGCATAATTTCCATTGTAAGTCTTGTGATGGAAATCGTGATGAAGTGGACCACTATAGAATGGAATTAAATTACTCATACACCATGGGAAGTAGAAACCTGTATGTGTATCAATGGCTTCAATTTGACGAATTGTCATCCATACCCACCATCCAATAATGTGTGGAATTCCAAAAAGGAATGGTCCAATAAACGAACCAACACCCAACAAGACAAACTCTGTACAACTAGCATATGATGAGCAGTAACCAATTGGTGTCTGATATTCGTGATGCATTTTGTGAATATGCTTATAGGCCCATTCAGTATGCAACCAACGATGAATCCAATAAAAGTAAGCATCTTCAATCACTAAGAAAATCAAGGAACGTCCAACCATATCCCACCATGGTGGAATATTCATATCATAACTCACACCAACCCATTTAAGAACAGGATATCCAGTATAAAGCAATGGTAAAAGCAACAAGTGATTAAGTACTAATTGAAAAACACAATTCCAATCTGTTAACCTTTCTTCTTCTTTCAATTGAAGTTTGTACTTGTAGAGGAAAGAAGGCTTGAATTTCTTAATTAAAAACCATGGCAAGGACAAGATTCCATACAATACAAAGATATATGCAAGGGATACATAGGTTGTAATTTCCAACTCTGAAAAGTTTGAACGAATTAAATAATAAAATTGATGCAGGGTATCCATTTGATTTAAATCGACATTTCCAACCCAATCAGGGAGAGTAGAAGAAGGGGTGGTACTACTCATGATGATGACGATGATATATTTTGTTTGTTGTTAAAATTGATGAAGAGGATCTTGAAATATTTAGAGTTTCGTTTTTTCTCACTCCGAAAGTAAACGGTAGACGAACTGTAGGTGGTGTTTGAAGGTGGACATTGAAGTAGTGGAGATTGAATTAACCCGATTATCTAAAGAAGAGCATTTTGATCGGTTAATCGCTTCTTTTTTTTTAATATTTAAATTAAATAGTACTACAAATTGGTATTACTCTTTCAATATATTGTAAAGCAAATTAAATATTATTATGTATTTAATAATATTTAAACAAAATTAAATTTTTGTTCAATCTAAAAAATTAAATTCAAAAAATTGCCAAACTTGTACAATGTTGATATATTAATTATTTTTCTATTTTCTTAAGAATTGCTTAGAGAAAAGAAAAAATTGTCGTTACGAGAAATAGTGAGGTGGTAACATGATTTCTTCCTCATCTCGTCATCACAATGATGATGAAAGTGTTAACAAACAACAATATTCGGAACGAGAAGAATTTAATGGTAATCAACAAGAGGATAATATAATTAATAATCAACAAGAGAATCAAATAATAGGAAATAATAATGATGATGATAGAGACGATGATGAACCAATTAGAATATTAACAACAACTAATAATACAAAATTGCAACAATTACGAGCCTATGTATGGAAAATAGCCAAATTATCATTTGATATGCTTCCTATTGGTTTTTTAAGCTTTGGAGGTCCAATGGCTCATACTTCACTGCTACAGGATCGATTTGTTATTAATCATCAATGGTTAACTCCAGAGGAGTTTTCAGAATTGTTTTCCATTTGTCAATCATTGCCTGGACCATTAAGTACCAAATTGGTGATTGCTATTGGAACATTGAGAGGAGGATATGTTGGAGCTTTGGTGAGCTTTCTGATATTTTCATTACCAAGTGGATTGGTGATGGGAATTGTTGGAGTTTTGATGAAAGATGTGGACACGGATATTCAATTTCCTTATTGGATAAAGATTGCTTTGAGTGGATTTTCGTGTGCTGCCGTGTCCATCATTATGCATGCTGGTTATTTGATGGCCAAGAAATTGACAGTTGGTTCCAAGTTGTATCAGAGCTTAATGATTGGAGCATTTATATTATTTTTGATATATCAAACTTGGTGGATGTTATTATCGATCATGATTTTTGGAGGACTTTCGAATTGGTTTGGGGAATATGGAGGCAAATATTTCAAAAACAAGTATGAAAATTTCACAAATTCATATGAACAAAATGCAGTAGGAAATAAGGGAAAGTTTGAAAGCATTATCAAATTTTTGAAATTTTCCAAATATTTCATGTTGGAATTATTTACAGATTCAAAGGTGAAAATTAAAAAGATTTTCAACAAGGGAATATTCAAAAGATCTACCAATTATGAGCAAGTTGATGAGGCAACACCCTCTCCTGCTGCTGAGACACCCTCCTCCACTACTGCTAGTCAAATCATTTCCAACAGTGTTGACAAATCCAACGATAACGAAACAAGCAATACCATTGAAAAGAGCAAGGATATTTCACTTAAACCAATCATGGGAATAATTTTTATTACCATCTTCATCATGCTACTACTAAGCTTATTCATTTCAAGACAATTTATCGAGTGGACTCCACTCTATCTTGCAGAGGGATTTTTCAGAATTAGCAGTTTGATATTTGGTGGAGGGCATGTCATTCTTCCTGTTATTTTGAATGAGTTTTCCGTAAATCCTAATAATTCCACCTTGCCAACCATTTCAGAATCGCAATTTTTGAATGGATTTGCCCTACAGAATGCCCTACCAGGTCCATTATTCAATTTATCAGCATTTGTTGGTGGAGTGATTGGAGGTCCACTCGGTGCATTCATTTCCTGGTTTTGCTCCTTCCTACCGCCATTCCTTTTCATGTGGACTGCCATTCCTCTTTGGAACAAGTACAGAGATAATAAGAGTGTAAAAATAATTCTGGCTGGAGTGAATGCCTCAAGTGTTGGATTTGTCTTTGTAGCAGGTTATGTATTGTGGTTGTCATGTGTGGAAACTCAATTCGTGCCAGCTGCCTGTACAGTCGTGTTGAGTGTTTTGTTACAATCTGTGATTGATGCACCTGCACCACTGGTTATTCTCTCGGGAGGTCTCATTCGACTAGCTCTACAACCTCTAGCACAAAATTCTTAGAATTTATTTTCGATTTTCAACCCATTCTACAATTTTAGAAACAATACTTGGAGTTGGTTTGTAATTTGGAATGGCAAGTTGACGAATTAATTTTTCACACACCACTTGTTTTGATTCCTTTTCAAGAGCTAATCTTACACTTTCCAAAACACGTCCATTAATTTCAAATCGTTGCAAGCATTGAATTTGTTTGACTTTCATACCAGCTCCTCCTTTCCTTATTACTCCTTTCATTACATAAAGGGTTATTTCCTTATCCCAATTTGAATAACTTTCAGTTGGAAGTTGAAATTGGGATTTTTCTCTACTTTCTTCATCTTCTTCCTCTGGTTTTGCCTCTTCTTGAACTAGTGCAGAAATGGAAGATGGTTCTTCATTTGAAATTGGTGTTGTTACTTCCTTTTGAATTGTTTCAATATTAATAATCGATTCTTTGTGTTGAGTAGGAGTTGCTGTAGCAGCAGGAGTCACAACTGTTTCTTCCTCTTTGATAACTTGTTTAATTATTTCTTCCTTGACTTGCTTTTCTTGATGAATAATAGAACTACTTGACAAATCCCTTTTAATTGGAGTTTTTACCTTTGAGGCAGCAAACTCTACCAACTTGATTGAAAACTTGCTCAAATCAATACTTTCATCCCTCTCAATAAAAACACACTTGTTATTCACAATTCTGTTGAATCTTTCCATAGCAGCTTGATAACTAGTTTCCGAAATTTGTACCTGTAATTCCTCCATATCACTCTCATCCAAACCTAATTGTTCAAACAAATCCAATTCCTTCCGATTCAATCCAGCACATTCCTTCAATACATTTGTTAAATAATTATTTGTTTGTTGAACAGGATTGAATGTGGTCATGTGAAAATGTTTTCCCGAACAGCTAGGATATATATAATTCTTCTTGTCATTGTAATTAATGGCTAATAATTTGATGGTCGTGGTGTGGTGTTGTTGTTGTACTTTGAGAGAGTTGGAAATGATTGATTTACTTTTTAACATTTTTTTCAATAAAGTTTAAAATTCTCCATTTGAGGAGATGGTGGAAATCTTTCCATTATTGGTTGCAGTAATATCTGAATATTTAACAATGTTTCTTAAATATTTAAATGTTTTGTAACATTATTAAAAATAGTATTGAACTATTTAATAATTTTTGGCGCCAAAATTCAACACTTACAATTTCCACCTTTCATAATAATCAAAAAAAAATGCAAGAATCAAACTCTACAAACCAGCCATCACCCGAAACTTTTTTCACCATCGATCCATCACGAGTGGCACTCAACGCAGGCTTGATACTCATGGAGGAAGACAAGGATTACGGAAAGGCTTTGAATTTCTTCTTACAAGCGGCCAATATGGGAAATGCGAATGCTGAATATTATGTTGGACACATGTATCATAAAGGCTTGGGAATGGAACAAAAAGAGATTCCATTGGCTTTCATGTGGTATCAGAGGGCTGCACAGAAGGGACATGTGCAGGCACTTTATTTGGTTGGAATTTTTTATTATTTTGGATTTGGTGTGGAGAAGAGTTTTGAAAAGAGTTTTGAATATTGTAACAAAGCAGCAGAAAGTGGACATTCACAGGCACAGTTTGATGTTGGATTGAATTATTTGGAAGGAGAAGGAGTGGAGAGAAATGTGGAATGTGCCATGACTTGGTTTACCAAATCTGCCAATCAGAATAATTTATTTGCCATGAAGAAATTGGCTCAATTGTATGATATTGGTGATGTAATTCCAAGAAATGTAAATGAAGCATTCAAATGGTGTTTGAAGGCTGCAGAATTAGGTGATTCTGGTAGTCAATATGATGTTGCTGCCATGTATGAATTTGGAGATGGTACTGAAAGAGATTTATCCAAAGCTTTTGAATGGTATTCCAAGTCAGCTCATCAAAAGAATCCCCAAGGTGAATTCCAAGTTGGATTAATGTATTGCTTGGGTAAACATGTGGAAAAGGATCTCAGTAAAGGTTTGGAGTTTGCATTGAGAGCTGCTGAACAAGGATTGTCAAAAGCTCAATACGTTGTGGCTGACATGTATGCAAGAGGCGATGGCACTCCAATTGATGTTATGAAATCCTACGAATGGTACTCTAAATGTTGCAATGCATGTATGAATGAAAATAATGGAGATTTACTTCAGAAATGCGTTGCTAGATTGAACATGCTCGCCAAACAATTATCACACAAATAGATTTAACCTTATTTTTGATAGAATTCCAGTAATTATCATTGACAATATCATTTTAATGAAAAACTGAAATATTGTCAAAATTAGTTGTTTGTCACTGAAAGGAATTGGTGTTAAATAATTCCCTTAAGAATATATTATTGAGGATTTTAATATATTAAAGGGAATACTATCTCTTCTTGGATGGATTTTCAACATTTGCTGTTGAGGTTGAGGCTTGCTTTCTCTTTTTTGTTGGAGCTTGTTCTTCACCTGTTTTGATAAAGTGTTCCCAGTCAATCTTACTGTTAATGTCATTCTTGAATTTGGAAAAGTAATTCTTCCATCTCTTATCCATATTTTTACAAGTTGAAACATATTCCTTAAAGATTGCTCCATTTTGATCTAATTGCGCCAATATTTCTGGAGTTTCATGAATCCACTTGATAGTACTAATGAGTGAAGAAATCTCTAATTGAGATTTCCAATTGAAGAATTGGTATGGATACGAATCTCCAGTAAATCCTGGTGAGGTTTCGTATGCTCTATCGAGAGCTGAAAATAGAACTGTCTGGTCATTGATATCAACATCTAGTAATTTCATATAACCTGAGGTAACAAATTTTCTAAATACATCCAAATTCTTGCAAGATCCAACAAAGGACACTCTTGTTTTCAGATTGAATGGTAATCTGTTTCTCATAAAGAATTCATAACACTTTTCATGTTCAAGAGGATCAATAGTTACATAGTCAATATATTGTCCATTAACAATAGTCTGTGCTTGAATAAAACCATTTGTAATGCACAATATATTTACAAGTCTGTCATTACGTTTCAGTGCAACCATTTTCTTAGGGTTGTTTGGAGATAAACTTGAAAAATACCCAAAAGTACTGGTTGATGCTGGTGTATCATCCACAAATGGCCTGGTTTTAATATTATCAATGTCGAGATACTCAAAGGATGGGATTTCAAAGTGTTCAAGCTCGCATTCATGGCTCATGTATTGATAAAGGTGGGTTGACTCGATTTCGCTAGTTATGAATTTTGGGTATAATGCATAGAATGGAGTGTCTAGAAATACAACAGTTTTGAGATATTGAAAGTAGTTAGTTTGCTTGGTAAGCTTAACATCTTTGGAGAATTTTTGTAATTGAAGCATATAAGAATTACTAGTAACAATTTTTTCCTCAAATGGCTGGAATTCCAAAGCTATTGAGCTATGGTAATGACTATTATAAGTTCTAAATCTTGAAAGATAATCATCTACATCCACATCATTCAATTCATTCCTCACTTCACAATTGGAAATCACAAGAGTTTCAACAGAGGTTCTTCCAATAGCTTTCAAAATCTCTGGAGTGACCATCATAAAGTGGAGAGTGACCTTTTTAACTCCCCTACAATTTGCAATAATCTTCAACAAGTCGGAATATTCCATTCGATAAGGATCGACCTCAGCTGTACGATTTTATCATTTCAATTGATGGTCCATCATCGGAAACATGCGATCAAATTGTAAATTTTAGAAAGAATTATTAAACAATAAAAACAAACAGCATTACTTACAAAAATCCAAATGAAAAGCCGAATATTCAAAGTAATCATTCATCAGAAAATTGAAAATATCCTTCCACGATTTACAAACTCTAGACAATCTAAAATAATTGGGCAAAACTGGAAGAAAGGACAAGATTTCGGAATAAATTTCCAATGGAAGATCTTCCCACATATTTGCTAATGTTCTAGATCCTTCTTCTTGCACAGTACTAGGACTACTGGGACTAACTGGATGAATGTCGGTGGAAGTCAAAGAGTTTGAGTTTTGCATTTTTTTTTGATTTGAAAAAATGCTTTTACCCAGTCGCACAATTTAATAAGATTTACAGTAACAAAAATATTCGTATAGTTGCAACTATTGAAATCTTACACAAATATAAATATTGAAGATCGAGGTTGAAAGTGAAAGTAATTGTATGAGTCAAATTGGAGATGTGAAGCAAATGGCCGTTCAAAAGTGAAACTGTTGCTAAAAATGGTCACAAACATGTGACAAGTGAAAACATTCTGAAAGAAGATATGTGAAGCGAAACTAGTTATTGAAAAAAATAGAGAGATAATAGGTTGGTTGACAACTTTATCATGGCCAGTTCTTCGTCTCCAAGAAAGGTTTCGTCAAGTGATGGAATTTATTCTATTCCTCTGAGTGTAATAATAATTAATCATCAACATGATAATTTGCAAAATAATTCACTTCAGTTTCTGGGCTCATCATCATCAACCTCTGATCTAAAAGGTTTGTCATCAATATTATTATTGCTATGATCCGAAAATATGTGAAATAGCCAACTACAGTTTACTTTCGAATATTTCCACTACCAATATTGCAGCAGAACAATCACCAACTACAAGCTCCAATCTTTCCTCTTCTCCTAACTTACAAAACTTGAAAAGCAAACGCAAGTCAAGTTCTTTCAATTCCTTTGATAGTTCATCAGAAATTACCTCATTTCACATTAATTTGCAAGGATTATCCATTTCTAACAAATCTCTCTATGATTATTCAAGTCCTCCTACCTCTCCAAAATATGGAAAATTATTCAAGAATGCCCATGAGCAAGAATCTATTGGAATATTGAGGAGGAAATTTGAATCATTTCTTATTGATAAGAAAGTCAATTATGGAGGACATAATAGGGAAACTCATATTTGGAAATTACTATTTCTTGATGATTTTTACAATGTTTTGAATGGAAAGAGTAGAAAATTTGATGATATTGAGGAGTTATTTCATAGATGTGATATTTTCTTGAGTATCTTGATTGGAGATTTGGGTCAATTCAAGTGTTTAGAAATGTTTAAGAATGAACAGTTCAGTACCTTTTCAACAACATTTAAATATCCACATTTGGAGAGTTTTGATTTGGTCATACAGGAAATATTGACGACCTATTCCAATAAGAAGAGAAACCTATCACCACCAAATGGAATTTCTCTATTGCTTGCCCACGAATATTTACACAAGTGGCTCACAGAACTCAACTCTACATGCCACGAATATTTAAAATTGGCTTCACAAAATCAAAATCTTGAAACTCAACAATTGAAAACCCAACCTAAACATCATCACATGGTGGTGGAATCTATTTCACCCATCTTTGAGGAAATTGATCCACAAGAAATTCAAAATCCTCACTTTGATTTTGTATCAATCACTAGGAAATCCAGTTCCTCTTCCTCTAATGCATTCGACATTGCAAGTTCTTCTTCAGCGGATGAAGATAACTGTGCACCAGCTGATTCAAAACAAAAAGAACAATTCATGAAGGAGATTATTAGCCAAAATCAAATATTTGATTTGAAAGAGAATGAAAATACCTTACTCACCTCTCTCAAATTACTCAATCAAATGTTCTATACTGAGCTTGAAGACTACTTTAACTACTTTCAAAAAACCAGCTCTAAATTTTTGAAAAAGTGGTTCGACAATAATGTAAGAAATCTTCCTCTGCATTGTATTGATGCCATTCAAAAGAGAAAGAAACGATATACGAGCTATCATGAGAGCTTTCGGTTAACAGAGGAGGATATGAACTTGAAAACCATTGTTGATGCCGACTTTGATTTTGTACATTATTTGTGTGAACATACAGAAGATTGGCAATTATTGGATCTATTCGAAAGTGATTCAAGCATTCAAGTGTACAAATCTAAAGAAAATTACTCAACAATATCAGGAATGAAATTACAAAAATATATTACACGAGTTAATCAGCCAATAGAAGTAGTGGCTCGAGCATTGTTGGCCAATGAAGCTCACGGGGATCAATATGGCTTACTAGTAACTGGAAAGTACTATGACTATAGGGAGATTGATTTGAATTCCTCGTCCAACAAGTATTCAACAGTTATCCAATCATGCACGATAGATTTTGGATCTCTTTTCAGAAAAAGATGTTTGGAAAATGTCATTTCAGCAAAAGGAACCTTTACAACAAATAATGAGCTTGTCGAAGTTACTCAACTCTACAAGACCTGCTCATATCTCAATAAGGACGAGGAAGAAGGTGCCCGTAAGGTAGTAATGATGGGTACCAGATATTTGCAAAAAGAAGACTCTAATACTACCAGAATTGTAGATGCTCGAATGTTTCACCTAGGAGGTATCATGAATTCAAATTTAATAGTGCACAAGCTGAGTGTTAAAAAGATGGTGCAATTCTTCTCTGATTATCTCAACAAGTGTTTGGAGAGTGCAAAAAAGAATAGCTATGCTGCGCCTGATTTGAAGGAGCATTGTGTGTGGCGAACCTTCTCGGACTATTGTAGAATGCACTACAAAATTGATGTGAATAAATAGTGAATTCCCAATCATGGTTATTCTAAAAATCTTGTTGTGCAATAATCATCTTATAGCATTCTTCAAATAACCATCTTGTGTATCAATAAAATTAAATTGGATTGAATGGTAGATCACAAATTAAGAATTTATAATGATCTTAGAATCTTCTACCACCACGATTTGAGTTACCTCCACGTCCTCTTCCACGACCTCCTCTATTATTACTACCACTATCTCTATTATTACTACTGCTATCAATTCTTCTTTGATTATTCTTATTTTGGTTATTGTCTCTCTTTTGGACCTTATTCTTTCCTTGATTGTTATCCTTTCCATCACGGTCCTTTCTCTTGGTATTCTTAACCTTCTTTCTATAGGTAATCCAACTTGGTTTAGTGGTGAGTGTAGAGATGAAATCTGGGCGATTCTTCTTGAGAGCACGAGTAAGCTCCAAGATATTCTTGGCACAGTTCAAGATTTGGGTTTCCATTCTAACCTTTTCCTTGTTTTCTTCCTTCTTTTCAGCCTTCAAGACCTTGATTGATTCTTCAAGTCTTGGAACGTATGGAGAAACAGCGGCCTCAAGGTTACCCAATCTTTGAAGCATATCTTGTCTCAATTGCTTGAAATCGCCATAGTTATCAGTTGGTTGACCAGTGATAATCTTAATACCACAGATTTCATTGAGGGATCCTTGTGCCTTGAAAGCAAGTTGATGGAAGATGAAGAGGAAGCATTCAATGTTGGTAAGATTAAGTTTTGGATTAGCGGCATCCTTTTCTGGAATTTCATTCTTCAAAGTTTGATAAATGAGTGGTAAAATAGCTCTAGAGTGATTTTCAGAAGTGAAGAGAGCAATTTCAGTAATAGCCTTGAGGGTATCAACTCTCAATTTATCTTCTTCTGGAACACTGGTATTCAAATTATTGAGTGATGGGAAGATTTGATTCATCAAATAGGAGAAGTATGGAGCATTATCCTTCAAGTGAACCATACCCTTCTTGGCAGCTCTCAAAAAGCTGATCAATTTTCTCAATTTCCATCTATCTTCTTCATCAGCAAGATCGAGTGGCTTGGTCAAATCGACTGGAATGTGATTTCTAAGGAATTGCATAAACTTGAAAGAATCCTTTTCGTATGACTTCAAACGAGCAACGAGGGAAAGGAAGAGTCTCATATGCTCAGCTTCCTTTTCCTTGTTTGAGAAGGATGATGAAGCGAAGAGTCTCAAAATCTTTTCAATAACTGTAATAATTTCCTTTTCAGTGTCTTCTCCAGAAAGTTTTGCTTGAATGGCTTTACGTTTCTTGAACATGATTTCAGAGATGAATTCAACAGTCTTTTCTCTGAGAAGTTCAGTTTCCTTTGGACTATCTTGAACAGCTGGTGTAGCAACAAGATCCAAAAGTGATTTAAATGTTTCCTTTGGATCAATATCCATAAGTTCATTCAAGCTTTGTCTAACTACCTTAGCTTCAACAGGATCTTCCTCTTTGAGAAGTTGTGTAAGAATACTGGTTACTTGAGAAATATTTACAGTGTTGTTGATGCACAACTTTGGTAATCCTTTGGTAGCATTAATTCTGATCGACTTGTCCTCTTCTTCACACAAATCCAATTGCTTTGACATACTTTCTGATGAAAGGCTTGGGAAGTTAGCAGCATATTTCGGAATGAATTGGCAAGCCAATTCCTTAGCCTTCTTAGAGTGATTTGGTGAAACAATGTTGAGAATTGCTTCATAGTGAGACTTTGCCTGTTATTATTTTAAATTATTAAATTATGATAAGGATGATAGTAATATTAAAATTATTTGTGATCATATAATTCATGTGGTAATACATTCACAGTTAGCTCCAACCTTTGATTGTTCAAAACATACCGAAGCCTCCAAGTTTGGTACTTGTGTACCTTGTTCTTGAATAGCAGCCTTCAAGGCATTGCTCAATTCCTCTTCGTTTTTATACAAAAAGTCAATTTCCTTGTCCGATTCAGCATTAACGTGGACATACAATGTTTCTCCTCCTTTAGTAGTAGTTGTTGCAGACATGTTGTTGTTATTATTCTTAGGCTTACTGTAAAAGTGATGATATTGTGGACAAGCTTAAAAGGCTTATTCTCTTATTAATATAATGATGATTTTGTTGTTGTATGATTGTATTCTATCAATATTACACACACTGAAAACAAGTTCTTTTTAGGTGTGTTGATGATCAACAATTTTTTTTTAAAATTTTTTAATAAAATTGAAGATTCATTTTAAAAACAAAATGGCTTAATTGAATAGGTAGCGTTGAACCCGCCTTTTTTCTTCTTAAAATTCTCTATGAAGAATTTATAATGATGGAAAAGGATGAGGTTAATAATTACGAAATTTAGATTATATCCTTTTGTAATCAATGTTAAATTCTTCCTAAAATGATAATTAGTCAATAATACTACATAACACTATTGTTAATTGACCATTTATACAACTACCGAAAATGGTATAAATCCAATAAGCAAAATTCACAAAATGTTAATGAAAAAAAACAATCAAAACATTATTCAAAATGGAATCAAGAAAAGTTGCTTGCTCCTCTCATCAAAACCAACCTTGTGTTTTCATTACTGGAATTTCAGGAAAACTTGGCGAAGTTTTATGTAAGAGACTTTGTGACCAAGGATTTAAGTGTAAAGGTTTAGTTAGAGATGAAGATGCCAAGAAGGAAGTTCAAGGATTGGGTTGTACTGATGTTTTCGTTGGAGATTTGACAAAACTTCAAACAGATGACTTTGTTAAATATTTGGAAGGATGTGATTTTGTGATTGATGCAGCTGGATCAACTTCTGGAAAGGATATTGAAAAGATTGAATTTACTTCTGGTAAATTCCTAGCCCAAGCAGCCATGAAGAGTAATGTCAAGAAGTACATTTCCATGTCAGCTGTTGGTTGTGATCATTTCTCATCTGGAGAAAGAAAGGATGCTCTTGTATGTGATAAATGTAAGGAAAATAGAGAATATGCTGAGAATCAATACAAGCTTGATCAATTCATTCAAAATGAAACCAAGAATTTGGATTATTTGATTGTCAGATCAGGAGATTTGACAGAGGAAAAGGCAATGAACAAGATCTTAATTGGACGTCCACATTTGAGTACCAAGTATCGTAAGATGTGTCATACCTCAAGAGAAGATTTGGCAAACTTGTTGGTTTGTCTCTTGAAGAATGACTCCTTAAAGAACATGACCTTTGAAGTTATTAATTGTAAGGATGAAGGAATGCCAATTGAGGAGGCTGTCAAACACTTGAACGTTGCCTTGTAGATTGACTCTAATCATCAATAAAGCTTTATTGAGGTTGTGTGAAAATTATTTTGTTTATTTTGTACATTTATCAGATTCTTTTCTATTATCATTTTATTCAATGAATTTGTATTCTCTGAAGGTTTTCATTCCAGAAGCACTTGAATTTAACTTTTCAATAATTTCCTCCTTAATATGTGAAACATCTTTCAAATGAATTGAAACAGTCAACCCATAATAATCAATGAAATGGTTAATATTGGCAGTGATGGCACCTCTTCTGACTTGTCTCACATTTTCTCCAATAAATGTTACCGCCACAAATCTATCACGTACAACATCGTCCAATTCCAAGGCACATACCTTAACAATAGCATGAACAGCATTGTCAGGTGTCAATTGTTCAACTAGCTCTGAAAGTGATTTACCATTCTTACTAAATTTCAAATGTTTTGCATTCTTTTCATCATATTCCATCGAAACAAATGAAACAGTTGGTTGTTGTCTCATATCTTGATAAGCTTCACCAATCAACTCATCAAACTTAATTGGAGAAGTCAATGAAGATGGAATCAATGAAAAACTTCTAGAAAATCTATTAACACTTCCATTTCCAGAACTAGTAGTAGTAGCAGCAGCAGCAGGTTTTTCACCTTTGCTTTCAATAGAAGAAGCATTTGATTTAACTGGTTGGGGAGTGCTAAATGTAGAAACAGTTCTAGTTCTATTATGAGTAGGAGTTGATGGTTGACCACTTGTTTTCTCAAGTGTTGGACTTGGCAATCTCATAAATGAAGCATTACGCGGTCTTCTTTCAATAGCCACATTTTGAGCTAACAGAGGTGCAGAACTCGTGCTAACCAATTGAGTTTTCACACAAGCATTTGGCAGATTCAATTTACCAAATTTCAAATCTCTCAAAACTTGTTCTGCCTTTAAGTTTTCAATTTCAAAGGAAGAAAACTTTTCCAAATTGTGAACAGTTTTGGAATTGACGAATTCTTGAACTTTCTTTGCTGTTTGTTCATCAACTTGATCGTTTTGAGTGTTATTCGAAACTAGGTCTTTTAATTCTTGTTTTTCTTTGATTAAATCTTCAAGTTCCTTTTGTTTAGACTGACATTCAGTTTCTAATTGTGAAACTAATTGAAGAGAACGTGCTTTTAAACCTTCGATAAATTTCTCTGTTTCTATTTGAATTTCGTTCTTCAATTCGGCTTGTTTCTTCTGAATTAGTTCGATGGCTACGTGTAACTGTTGATCCGAACAAGTTTGTCTATTCTCCCAGTTGGTAAAGAGGGAATCAACTTGTTGTCTGGAGATGGTGGTTGGAGAAGATGACATTTTTTTGTTGTTGATTTGTTTCGAATATCAAACAGATGAAATTCAACACACTAAAAAGTCAATTGTCAAGTGGTTACCTTTTTTGCTCTGATTGTTTGAAAATGGTGGTTATTGCACAAGAACGAGTTTTAAATTGTTTGATTTGTCAAAACTCGTCCAAATATTTTACTGTTCAACATCACACAACAAGAAAGGTTTACAGTAAACAAATTTTCATTGTAAACTAAGTGTTTAATGTTGTGGTGAGGAATTTTGTTGGCTAATAGTTTGGAAACTTTGCTTTCTCTTTACAAAATCAGTAATGGCATCATTGAGCTTGGTAATAATTCGAACCTTTTCGTTTGGTCTATTCATGACATCGTACTCAACTGTGAATTTACGAGCAATGGCTGAAATTTGGAATTTGCTATTGTTAGATCCGAAATCCATTGGATGAACAGTTAAATCACCCAAACTCAAAACAAATCTTGCTTCATATCGATCCTTCTTCTTTTCTTCCATTATTCCCATAACGTCCACATTGTCAGATTTGTCAATTCCATTGGCTCCTTCTGCTGTTGCAATTTTCATAGCAGCAGCTCCACTTGGAGTACCTCCCAATTCTGAAGTGGAGGCACTCACTGATGGAGTAGGTACATTTACTGTTGAGGTAATGTTTGGTTGAGAGTTGGCCTTAACAGACAACTTTCTTCTAACTCGAGATAATTTTCCATCCTCTTCTTGTGTATTTTCAGATTCTCTAACAGCATGAATAAATAAATCGTTGAATAAGAAAACGACACATTCCTCATTGACATGAGTGTCATAGGTAGATCTCAACTTGTCAAATTCACAAATATATCTACGTTGAGGTTGAATTAAATCTGTCAGTCCTGATAATCTATCTGCCACACTCTTCATACGATAGAAATATTGACGTTCACGAATCTTATTATTCAAGAAGGTGGCAACTTCTTCAGTGATGGAAATTGCATTCACCAAATTACCGAAATCTGGATGTTCAGGATTCTTGGTGTGTTTCAACAAACCCTTCAATAGGAGAATATATCTTGGAATACGTTGGATAGGCTTGATCAAGAAACCTTGAAGTTGTTCACCCTTTGAGAATGGATCCTTTCTTCTAATGTAGAGATAATTTCTAAATCTTGGATTATCCTTATGTTTAGAATAAGTTTCAATAGCCATTTCATATTTTGTTGAGAAGGTGGTATACAATTTGAAAGTTTGATGGAGTTTGATGAAAATATCGGCAATCTTTTGATCCTTGTGCCATTCATTAACACGTTCTTCTAAATCTGTTACGAGAATCTTGTGCAATTTGTAAATTCCCAATAAACCACCAAAGATCTTAGACTTGTCATCTTCTGAAATGAGATTAGGCAAATATTTCAATAGTGGATAATAGTACAATTCTATAATCTTGGCCATAGAAGTGACGTAGGCTCTTTCAGTGTCGAGAATTTCCTTTGCCAAATTTTCTCTTTCCAAAATATCCTTTTCATTTTCCAATTGTTTGACATCTTCTTGTTTTTCGGTAGATGTCTTGGTTTCAGTTGCGCTATTATCAGAGGTCTTGTTGGATTCAATATTTGGACTTGTCTCTGTTGTGACAGTTTCAAGATCTTCCAATACATCTACAGGAGATCCCTTGTGGCTCTTCTTTCCAATCATGAAACTACCAAAACCAATATTTGACAACTCTTCATCACTGTCATAGTCACTATCACTATCACTATCAGCATGTTGCATTTGGTCAATGACAGATTTGATTAAAAGACCACACTTGCCAGAGGATGCTGAACTTGCTCCACTAATTCTCATATTTTCATTCAATCTAATCTTGTTATGTTCCAAGTGAGTGAGCAATAAATCTTGTAGCATGTGACAAATTACCAATCTTTGCATGAGGGCAGGTTCCTTTCCACTCTTCTTTTTGATGATTTCCTTTTCCTCTTCAGTGAGTTTGTTATTCACATTCACAGAAACAAAAGTGGAATCAACAATAGTTGAAAGACCCTTACATTTCAACAAGATTTGATTCAATGTCGATTCATTTCCTTCACTTCCCATCTTGATAATGGAAATGTATGGCTCTGGTTCAGATGCAGAACCGGTGGAGTTGGCACTAATACCATTTGATTCGTACCATTCGACAATATCATCTAATTTGGTTTGTTCCTTCTTTTTCTTTCTTTGGAGTGAAAGACTTTCCAATTTGCCCAAACTGTGCCAAACAGGTGTACCAGTTGAGGAGGATGCTGTCTTTCCGAAATTAGGAGCTGAGAACTTGGATTCGATTTGATTGGCTGTGACGAGGTAAATCTTTGGTCTCATATTTCTATTGATTGGATCCTTTGATTGTTTTGGATCGTGCTTTGCTAATAAATCAACTAAAAGTGTAAAAACTTCCTCATATCCTCCATCATTATCTGGTTTCTTAATCTTATTGGTGATGAGATCAATAACTGAATAGTAATATTCCAAATCTTCATTATCAATAATAATTTCAACAGATTTCTTTGTAAAGATACCAACAGTCATCCTATCTGCTGGACGTAACTTGAAGAGAATATGTAAATATCTGAGCACAATTTCAATGGCAGAACCCAATCTATTATCATATGCTGTGAATTGAGAATAATCTTCACCCTTTTCACTTTGTTTCAAACTCTTGCCTGCTGGTTTAAAAACAGGAAGAGAAGGAATCATATCTTGTGAAGACATATTTCTCGAAACATCCACAAAGATATAGTGGTGAATGCCAGTATTTGGAGTGGCTTTAAACAAGTGACCACTTGGAGAGAAGATGAAACCATTTTCTTTGGCTGGGAATCTTTCAGCTAGTAATGAAACTTCCTCCAAATAATCCAATGCACTACAATCCAAAACTTGGTGAGAGACGTGTCTCTTACAATATTCGAGTGGTGTATTGGAAGTAGAGTTTTGGTCCAATTTTTGAACTCTACACAAGTTGAATTGACGCATTTCCTCATTGGACATGCAGGCCTTCTTACATGGATCAACAAATCCACACAAGGACCAGAATTTTTCATGTTTCAATTCATCCATTGGTTCACATTTCATAGTAGAGTGCTTACGACCTGTTGCCATCAAACTCAATTCACCATTATATGGACAATCTTCCTCACCATTATCAGATAAAGAATCATCGAAATTATCGGTAATAATCATGGAATCTTCTCTTCCATATCTTGGAGATACAGGAACACCCCTTGGAGAAACAATTATCTGGGAGCCACCTCCAACAGTGAGAGAAGTTCCAAATCCAATACTACTGCCCATAGTTGATGGATTAGTGTTATGTGTTGATGGAGAAGTTGACTTGCCCTTTAAATCTGAAACACTACCAGAAGAAGATGTTTTAGGAACACCTCCACCATGAATGAGTCCTGTTGGTGTGTCATTGACATTTGTACTTGATGTTGATCTTTTTGGAACGCCTCCAATTCCACTAGAAATGATAAAACTTCCGTCCAAAGGACCACTACCGGCAATGTTAGTGTTGGAAGGAGAACGTCTTGGCACTCCACCAATTCCACCCGAAATAATTCCTCCACTACTGTTGAGTGTAGTGTTGCTACCTGTTGATGTGGTGCTAGTATTACTACTGTTGGTGTTAGATGATGTTTCCAATCCAGGAGTTGGCTCAATGGTCAAGCTTGGTAATTCAGGAGGATGAGCCATGTCAGAAAGGGAAGAACCAACAGATCTCGATCTAGGAACATTTTCAGTGGCTGGCTTTGTGTTAAATGTTGGAGTAAAGGTAGTGAATTGAATTCTATTAGCAGTTGACCATTCACTGTTTTTAGGAGTGAGTGAGGACATTTCACTTTGACTAGGTGATTTTGGAATAAGGGATTGTGATCTCTGCTTTTCAGAAGATGATTCCATTGTTGCTTTCAAATCTGATGATGAACTATTGAGAGAATTAGCGGTTGATGTCTTTTTACCATGTTTGTGGGAACATACAGTCAAATAGGTATGACCACGACCCAAAACTCTACAATATGATTCACAAGTGAATTTGGCACCATTTTGACCTGGGAAGAATCTCAATAGACGTTCTTGATTTTGATGAATATATGGAATTTCAATTGCATTATTCTTGAGTAATTTAGAATCAGTCACAAATACAGTATTGATCATGAAGGCATGTTCAGTATCATGGAGTAGTAAATTCTCCTTCTCCTTTACAGAAAGAGTTTCAAAATTAATATTTTTCATTTTAGGATCAACTGATTTTTTGGCAATCCAGAATGAATTCTTATCGTGACCATATTCTTTTCTACATATGGACAAACAGGCAGGACATTTCTTTGCACAAAAATGTTTACGTGGTGCTGTTTTAGTGTCTTCATCATTGTAACAAAGACATTTACCAGAGTGGCTAAATTTGAATGGTTCCAACATTTTGGAACAGTTATGCTTCAAGCCAACATCTGTATATTTGGCCTCTGCTTTAATTTCACAAAATCCACGATGAGAACAAAATTGTTGACAAGGATGTGAATTGGAACACATGTGAAAATCGAGACCTCCATTCTCTGCTTCAATAAAGTCCTTATATTCCTGTGAAGAGTGATCAAATGCACAATAGCATACACAATTTGGAATTTGACACTTGTGTTTACAAATTCCAGGTTTCAAATTCTTCAAATTTGGATTAACAACAATAGGTTCTGCAGTAATTGTGATTGGTGGAGATTTGTTCAATCTTTCCACTGATGAAGAGCTAGTATTTTGTTGTGGTAATTTGATAGCTGGTGGAATAACCTTGACAGTTTCCATTGGTTTCTTATTTTCCACAATATTTTCCAAACTCTTACTACTTGTTAATGAATTATTGTTAGCATTCACTGTTGTGTTTTGATTTGTTGAAGTTGAAGGCAAGACAGGTGGTAAAATCTCTGCAACTGAATTCAAGGCAAATAATTCTTCCTTTCCAGGAGTTTTTGTTGGAGTACTGTATGGATTTACAACATTACCACTTGGCATTAAATGTTTGTTTTGAATTGGAGCTTGAGTTGAATGTCCAATGTTAACAATTGGAATTTCTACAACGGGATTAGTAGTAAAGTTGGCAATATTGACCACTTGTGGAGGAGGAACTGTGGCTGAGGAAGGTTGCTGTGTCTTGGTAGCTGTTGGTTGAACAATCATTGGAGGAACAATAACTGGGACTGTATTTGTCTTGGATACAGGCTGATTGGACATCACATTGTTAACACTTGGTCTATTCATATTCACTTGTTGTTGTTGCTGTTGTTGCATTGGTTGCTTGTGTTGTTTTTGGAGGAATTACTTGTGCAAAGTTAGCATCATCCCATGAAGCATCAAACGAATCATCAAACTTGTTGGTACCAGGTTGGGTATTGTTTGTAATAATATTTGCTCCAATATTTACATTATTTGCAAGATTATTGTTACTTCCACTGTTAGAGATGGATCTTGCTCTAGGATTGAAACCACCACCAACGCTCAGACTTCCACTAGAATTTGTTGATGATAGAGTTGGAGTTGGAGTAGTGGAATTGCTGTGGAGAGATGTTGTTGATGAAGAGGAGGGAATTAATAAATTATTTGAATGACTATTATTTAGCTTTAAATTGTTATTATTATGAATTGGAGCAAAACCACCACCAATAGTTGTTGTATTAAAATTTAAATTTAAATTATTATTATTAATATTATTATTAAAATTATTAAAATTATTTGATGGTGCGGTAAATGTAGAAGGAGTTGATGAAGTTGAAGATGTTATTTGTTGTTGTGATGATGGTTGTACAACGGGATCTCCCGATAGGAAAAAATCTAACAAATCGCCATGACTCATCGATGACATATTTGTTGTTGTAGTTTGTTGTTTCTGTTGTTGTGGTTGTTGAGGATTTCTCATCGTGGTGTTATTGCTGCTATTACTCTTGTTCATTGTACCCGTGGATGGGTTTGTTCTTTGATTGTTGTTGGATTGTGCATTTGCTCCTCTCATATTGTTGTTGCTTTTTGTCTTTTGTTTGAGAATAAGAGAGCAAATGACAATGTCGTGGTTGAGTAGTTGACGATGTTGTGTAGTTTATTATGGAGTAATGATTTGTGCGATTTTCTTTCTAATTGGCTTTGTTTGCATGTCCTTTTTCTTATCGCTATTGTGCTTGATTGAAAGTTGATGGGAAATTGCTGTTCGTATTTAACGATTCGCAAATGGAGTAGACGAATTGAAGTTGTAAAGTCTCAGTGAATCATAAGGGCATGGGATGAAATTAGTCAGCTTCATTTATTAGGGATGGAGATTCAATGGTCTTCTTAATTCTTGACATTGTTTTAGATAAGAGTGCCAGCAAGTTGGCTTCTCCCTCTCCTCTCACCTTTTCTTCACTCACAATTCTGTCTTGCAACTTGTTAAGGGAGGAATTAACGAGCTCCTGTTGCTTTTCAATATCTGCTCTCAAATCAAATAAATTCTTCTTACTCTGTTTATCATTCTGTATAATGAGTCTCTCCAATTTATCACTTGTTGGTTGAATAAATTCAGAGAGGATTTCCATTTTCTGAGCATTCATTAATTGCTGTACATTATTGAATTGGTGAGCAGTGTTAATCTTTTGAGATTCCAGTGTATTTTGAATTTGTTCCAATTTGCTCCATATTGGGTCTGTGCTTTGCCTAGTTTGAGTTCCAATCTCTGTAAATAACTTTTCCAATTGTGTTGTTATTTCATTTATATGTGCATTGGAGAGGTTTGAAAGGGTGGATATTTGTTTCTGAACGTCAAGCTCCATATTATTAATCTTTTGTTTGACGTCTGTGAATTTGATTTGAGTCTCTTTCGATTCGGATATGATTGAGTCTGCCAATTGCTTTCTCTCTGTCTTGTATTGGTTGAGGAAGGAATTGAAATTAGTACTGAGGAGATGCAGCTGATTTGATTGAGAGGATAATTCCTGTGAGAGTGATTCTATATTGAGGTGAACAGTGGAAACTTGCTCCTCCAGATTTTTCAGTCGTTTTTTGACGCTTTCATTTTCTTGAATTCGTGCATTCTTTTCCTGTTCGATTCGGGAGGACAGCTGGTTGAACTTTTCTTCAATGAGATTGGTAATATTCTTCTCACCTCTTTCTCTATTGCCTCTCTCATGGAATAGTTGAGTTTCCAATTTTTCGAGAGCTCCATTAGTAGAATCCACTCGGCTATTAACCTTATTTGTAAATGTATTAACATTATCAATCTTTGACTCTATGGATTCAATTTGCATTTGTCTCTTTTTTCTGACCTTTTCTTGTTGGGCGACTTGAGCATCAATGGCTGAAATCTTTGAGCCTAAATCGGCAAATTTAATCTTTGACCCAGCTCCTTCAACACTATTTGAGGTACCATTGAGAAACTCATCTTCAGTTATTTCATCACTGTCATTACTTCGAGAGTCATAATTAGTAATTGAATTGAGAGCAGATCGAGAGAATTGCTTCCCAGGACTATCAGAATTGTTGGAATGCGATGAGAGAATATTATAATTATTATTGTTGGGAGATTTCTTAATATTATTGCTAACATTTGAGGAGCTCAAGGTTGAGAATGAGGGTAAATTAATATACTTTCCAAAAGTTTGAGGAACAGTAGAAGAAGACGATGCAGGACTCAAAGGTTCTAGATATCCATTTGTGCTCCCACTACTGCTATTGTGATGAGCATTGTACGATCGTGAACTGCTCTGCGAGGATGGAATACCTGTTCTCAAGGGAGATGAAGCCGATGAAGTTGTAGATGATGAAGTTGTGGTATTAAACTTGAAATAATCGATTTGTGGTTGTTGTTGTTGAGGTACTTTAGGACTCCTCAATACAGGAATCATTGAATTATTACTATTTGATGAAGAATTGGTAGCCATCAAACTAGTTCCCCTCCCATTATGAATCATATTCTCTCAATAAAGTTGTTGTTTATGGCAGTATTTTTTAAAATCTGAAGGTAGATATTATTCCGCCAAATTACTGTAAATAACAAACAAGTCTATGGAGAGTGGTTAAGGTAAAAAAAACTTTGTGATGTTTGGTGATGGAGATTTTTAGTTAATGTGTATCTGTGGACCATTTTTCATGTCAATGCTCTATTCGTTTGTAACACATCTGTTTGACCAAGGTTTTAGTTGGTTCCAAATACACATCCTTCCTAAGATTTCTTTCTGCTAATCCATTCTAACATCATATTTGAAGACTTCAAATAAGAGAGCATGCAAATTTATTAAAATATATTTCATAAACAAGAACATAAAAGTGGTACTTAATCAAACCTTCAAACTCTGTGTGTTTGCAACAATAAATGGCCGATTTAAGTCGTGTTATGAAGAAGGTGCGACAACCAGTGGTGTTTTGTAAAAAAGTCAGAGCCGGACCTACCTTAAATCATTAGAGCCATTTGAATGCCTTTTTGAAAAAAACAGCACAAACATTATTGATATCTTTCCACTAGATTATACATTCTGTTGTTTTTCTTCTAGTGCAAAACAACAATATTGGATCACACTTATGTGGGAAACCAATTATTTTTGAACATGATACCCAACAATAACCACTTTCTAAAGAACGTCCTCAATCTCCTTAATACAAGATTCTTCCCATCAACAAGTTCACCATCAATTATCTATTGCAAGCATTCTAAGCATGAGCAATTTTACCAACCACTCACAAAATAATAACTCGTCCGCTTCCTGTACTGCTGTTGGAGGTTCGAACAATAACAACAACAATAGCTCTCAATTTAACAACAACAATAATACAACCGTGAGTGTGATTGAGGAGAATATTAGTCAATCTACTAGTAATAATCACCCTTCTCAAACAAAAGGACAGCCTCCCCCACGTATGTTGGCTCATTCTAACAGCAATACACAACGACATTCCGTCGATTCCTATACACCTCAAGTTATTAGTAATAACATGTCTGATATTTATCAAAGGAGAGTTGGCTCATCAATAACAGGATCAGATTCAAGCCTCTCCTCAACATCTACATCATCCACTTCTATCATCAAATCACTACAACAATCCTTTACAACCTATTCAATAGTTCTTCAAGATCGCGAAAAGCTTAAAGGATGGAAGAATGTACTTTTATTTGCCTTTCTTAATATTTATGTATTGTGGGCATCCGTGGCGATACCTAGTCAAGGAAATTATAATTATGGGGATATTGGATCATGGATTTGGAAGGCAATTAATTTTCCAGTGACCCTTTCACTTGATTTGATCCCTTACGAGGTAGGGATAGCTCTCTCTTCAATATGTATTGCCTTTTCAATTCTGGGAATTTTAATGTTCCTTATTTCTTCTAGGGCAGTGTACAATTCGAGCAAGTACACAAACATTCTCAAAAAACTGTTTAGAATCTATGGAATTATATTTCAGTTCATTGTCTATACAATGATCTTTATAATGAGTGGATTTTTCAATTGTGATGAATCAAAGACTGTAGTTTTGGAGGGTTATGATGAGCCACAAACAGTGCTGAGGAGATATCCTACCACTCCATGTTCTTCAACAGCTAATATTATTTTGGTGATCATTAATGCTTTGGGAATTTTAGTGCTCTTCATTGATGCAGGTATTGTTGGATTGACTGTGACGAATGCTCATCCAAAGAGCTCAACACTCTTCATTACAGATACTTCATACTTTTCTGTAATTTTCAATTGGGTCTCAATGTTTCAAATCTTGGTTGTATATGTAATACCTCAACAATATTTTTATATTGTTGCCGTTCTGCACATTATTTCATCCATTATTACCATTCCATTTCTATTTTATCTTCTTCCATTCTTTAGAAGAATGGAGAATTCTATATATTGTGGAATAATTTGCTCCAAGATTGGCATTAGTATTGGATGCATTGTTTCCTACTTTGTAAATTCCCAATATTTAACAGATCTAGGTCTTGGTATGTCTGGAATAATCGTGGGTCTTGGTCTGGTGGGTTGTATTATTGGCTTGACCGTTATGGAAATTTATACAAGAGTATCATATAATGAAGTGAGAAAGGAGGTTGTGAGAATTCTTTCAGAGTGCGCCTCACAAGCTATTGAACTGTCCAATGATGAATCTGAATATGTTCACAAACAACATGGAGAAAACTTTTTCAATTTGAAATCGTTATTTGAGAGAGAATCTGTTTCATTGTTGAGATCATTTGAGGAAAGAAAGAAACTGAGAAACCTTAATTTATTCCTAAAATTCTCCATGAGATCTGGAAATAAGCCCGCCAAGGAGACTTTCTTAATGTCTGACTTGGATTTAGTCGTTGCATTTATTAGAGGTGTTGGGAATCAAAAGAGTTTCAGTAGTCCAATTCTATTGGTAAATTGTAGTTTGGTGGCATGCCACTTTGTGGTTGGAGAGACAAATAATTTGACTCTTGCCTTCTCCTTATTGAAAAAAGCACAAAAACAGAGACCTTCTTTATTAGAAAACTTTATAATCGTAGAGAGAATGAAAGAAATTGAATCATCAACTGAAAATTTAGGTAGAGCCAAAAGTAGTAAGTTTCTTTATTCAGATCTGTAAAACAAATCTTTTAAGTTATGGAAATTAAACATATTCTACAAAGGTTGGAGAAGAACAAGGCAGAGATTTTGGCACTCCACAGACAGTTTTGGAAAGAACTAATGTCTGACATGGTCAATATCAACAAACTCATTTTGGTCACAGAGCGAATCACAAAGTTAACAACTGGGTGCCATACTATTCTCGAAAATTTAGCTCATGAATTCAGCAATGACAAGACGGTACTGAGATTCTATGCTGGTTTTGTTGAAGACGTTTTATTCAATGCTGAGTTCGCTCAAGAAATGTACACTGACGCTTCAGTTCTCGAAGAGGAAGATAGTAAGAGAGTTGAGATGGTCATTACAAAGAGTAATAGAAGAATTGTTCCTTTATCAGAGTCTGTTGATAATGGCTCTCTAAGTTATGAGAAATCCTTTAATGAGAAGCTTGAAAAGGCAAAAGATGCATTCCAAGAAAACAGAAAACGGTCTCTAGAAATTTTGAGTGTGAACATGAATGATGATAAGGAATCTGACTTGGGAACTGATGCATTTGAGAATCCACTTGTGAAGAAAGAGTCCATGTTCAAGCTAGCACTGAACACGCCAACAGTTGATTTAGCACAAAAGATTCTTTTTTATTGTTTGATTGGCCTAATGTTTAGTTTGTTAATTGCAGGATTTGTAATGTCTGTTCAATTTTCCATTTCTGCATTACAAGAAGTTCCAAGAGTCAAGACCACTTGTAAAACATTGATATCTCCCATCTCTACAATATCTGATTTAAGAATGAAACAATTATTGATAACTGCTTTCAATGATTCAAGAATCAATCCACCAACAAGCACCCTTAAACAACAAAAGATTAACACGATTCAAGACTTTGAGAAATTATTTACAGAAAGAATTTTATCACATAACAAGGCCCTTGATGATCTTTCACATTTGGCTAATTATGGTGAACTTTCAGACGAAATGTTGACGGATTATAAACAGAATAGATTTATCCTTAAACTTCCAGAAATTCCACATGGTAGCCCATTAGAAAGGTATGATGGTTATTTTGAAACCAACACATCAGTGACTGAAATTTCACAAGCAATTAGGAGATATGCCGACACATTTTTGTACACCAATTTAACAGCTATTGAGACAACTACTGATTATTCCTTCATGTTTTTCTGGTATAACAAGTACATTCTTCAAGATTCATTGGAGGGATTTTGCTATGAGTTTATCCAAAGAAGTCAAGAACAAATCAGCAAAATTCAATTCTCGTTCATGATTTTTTTGATAGTTAGCTCTGCAACAATAAGTGTAATTTCTACACTAGTTATTTCCTTCCTCGTTTACAAAACATACTTCATTGATGGAAGTATTAAGCTATTCTCCAAAACATTAGCAAAGGATGCAATCGGAAAAGTTTACCACAGATTGGGTAAGATTGTTAATGAAAGAGCATCTACTCATGTATCCAAGCATTCGCTCTTCAGACCTAGAAATTTGATTGTTCTTTTTGGACTGGCTTTAACCTTAATACTAATTGCTTCAAACGGATTATTCTTTGTTCAAGTGATTTTGAACTGTACTGATGGAACTGATGTTATGGATGATGTAAAGTATGTATTTTGAACTAATAATGCTTAATTTCAATAGAAATACTGTGTTGACAATGCACGATATTCAGAATGTTCAGCTGTTCATTGGTGAAATTTATATATTTGGAATTTATCCTAATAATTCACATGTAAATCCGAAGGAATTAATGGAATCCGAAGAGTTACTAGAGTTACACGAAAATTTGATTAATGTTTCTTCTGAATTGTTGGATTTGTGGAATCTTCTTATATTTGGTGACTACACCAAAGGGCAAACACCTATCCTATTAAGATATGGAAAAGTTGATGACATGATTCAAGGACACGGTTGCTCGCAATTGACCAATTCAACTCTAAAAACATGTTACGGATTAGATGAATTGGTTAAAGCCTTTGTGCTTAGTTCACATGAGATCAACGAAAGGGTCAATAATAAGGGACCTAATAACTATATTCAAACATTTGATGATTTGATAGATTTTTATTTCAGGACCAATATTCTCACTTCTAACTTGTTTACATTCTTGGACATTTTTGTTTCCAGCTCATCAGCTAATCTTGTGATTTCTATTCTTGTGTTTGTTGCTGCAAGTATTATGATGATGGTGTTGACATTTTTAATACACAACTCAATTGAAAAGACTGAACAGGAAGTCAATCAAGTGAGATCATTACTGAATTATGTTCCTGTTGATAATTTGGATGCTAAGGAAGAGCTCCGAACCTATGTTTTGCACAATTCCTTACCAAGCTTGATTCATAGAAATCATACGGATTCAAATGATGACAATGTTAGAAATATGTTAAATGCAGCAGTCGATGGAGCTGTAATGTGTAATGATAAGGGAGATATTGAAATATTCAACCCAGCTGCTTCTAGAATTCATGGAAGACAAGCAGACGAAGTATTAGGAAGACCTTTCTGGATCCTATTCGACACCAAATATCATGATGAAATCAAATCTGTAATGTCACTTATGATTAAAGGCAACCATTTGAATCATGCAGGAGAGACGAAAGAAGTTGAAGGCCTCAGAAAGAACGGCACCAAATTCCCAGCCATCATTACAATTTCAGGAACAACTTATGATTCCAAGGTGATTTACATTTGCTTTATCAAAGATATCAGCTCTGAAAAGAAGCAAAATGCTCTCCTTGCAGAAGAGAAGAAGAATAGTGAAAATCTCTTGAAGAATATTCTTCCAAGTGCTGTAGCTCAAAAGCTCAAAGCCGGTGAAACATTCATAGCTGAAAAATTCTCTGATGTAACATGCTTCTTCTCTGATATGGTTGGTTTTACCTCTATCAGTAGTAAGATGGGTGCCAATGAATTAGTGGGAATGTTGAACGCAATTGTGAACGGATTTGATGCCCTCACAGAAAAGTATGATTTGGAAAAGATTAAAACAATTGGTGATGCTTATTTTGCTACAGGTGGTTTGTGGCAAACAAGTGATCACCCTGAGAGAGTTCTCATGTTTGCATTGGATACATTCTATGTGATTAGAACGTACAATACAAGTAACATTGCTCAACAATTGAGAAAGATTGACAATTTAGATGCTCCAGATATTCACAAGGTTATTCCTCAAATAGACATTAGAATTGGTATCAATACTGGTGAGTGTGTTGCAGGTGTTATTGGAACTAAAAAGTTTGCCTATGATTTATGGGGAGACACCATTAACGTGGCCTCTAGAATGGAATCTACAAGTAAACCAGGCCAAGTGCAAATTTCCAGAAGTACCTTTGAAAGAGTTCACGATTTACCAAAACTGAAATTTGAAGAAAGATTTGTTGAAGTTAAAGGAAAAGGTAAAATGCAAAGTTATCTTGTGGATCCATCCTGCCATGATTGTGCAAAACTTAATGAAGAAACCATTAAGGTTTTGATTGATGAAGAAAAGTCCCTACGAAATGAACTCAATCCAAGAGAATCTTTTGATTTAACAGGTGGAAATGTTGCAGAACCACCAACAACCTTGTAAATATACTCTTAATTTTGGATTTGTCAATAGGAATTCGTTATATTCTAGTTAGTTGGAACGCTATCACCATGTTAAATAACAAAGAAGTAGTATTGGCAGCTGTCAAATAAACTGCCTTTACCTTTCATTTTATTGATGAATCATTGCTAATTCAGAATTTGCATCACTCAAAGGTAACTGAAATCAATTACAAACAAAGTACAACTCACAATGGTTCAAACACAATTCGTTTGGCAAGTGATGTTGCTGTAACCTTAAACGTTACTGAACCATCTGGAACTCCCTCTTCCTGAACTGTCAATTTAAACACATACTCTCCCTCTGTAGGAATATACGTATAATCATTACTCAACACTAATAAATCTCCCTTCTGAATAATATCCAATTTAGCAGGTCCACTTTCTAGAGTATATGTAAATTTGAGTTTATCCATCTTGGCAGAACCCTTATAATCTTTTGGAAATGAAATGATTGGTGAGATAATGTACAAATTTCCAATGATGAATTTGAGATCTTTCTGATTTTGAATGGAAACTATTGGAGCAGCACCGTCGATTATTTCGAACGAGGTGGTGGCTGAGGCAGATTCAGATTTGGAATTTCTGACGGATACTTGGACTGTGTAGACACCAATATCAAGATTTGAAACTCTCATTGTTATTGAACTATCTGTAATGGTTGAAAGAGAAGCTTTTAAAGTTTCGAATGCGCTATTCGAAGGAGCCTTGATAACTTTCCACGACACTTCTGAACTACTAGCTGGAACTACACTAGATACAAATGCTTCCAAATGCAACAGAGAGGACCTTGCCTTATCTTTTAAAATATGCGATCTGTCCGCTGTCAAACTAACTGTCAATTCATTCTTTCGTTTTCCCCACTTGACAGTTACAATTTCTACAATTGAACTTGAAAAGTGTTTTCTAACAGATAATCCACCCATCTTGAGGATTGAAGCATCACTCCCCAATTCAATTATCAATCGATTCGTTTCTCCATTCAATAAACATTTTGCTCCCTTTCCTAAAACACTTTCGTTTAGAATTAATTCTGAACATTCGAATATTTTGGAAGAAAGATTAGTTTTGATGAGAGCAGTGATTGATTTTGCATTATCTGTGAATTTGAATGAAGAAGTATCAATAAAGAGTTCTTCTTCTGATTTTGTTAGAGTTGTTGATGTTAGATTGCAAGGTAAATCATTTTCACATGATTGACGTGTGTCGTTTTCAAGTAGAATAACTTGTTTAGATATTTTGACAAGATAGATTGTTGTGCAAACTGCAATTATTCCACACACTAACAAGATTGCCAATGAATGTGTTTTCAACATGTTGTTTTTTTTTTGATTGTAGCGTTTGACAGTTCGCTGTCGTTATTCTCTCAAAAGGGATAATTCGTAGCGTACAAATAACTTGACCCTTCGTGCTTCCCTCCATTACAACATGCCAAATCTCATTTTCACAAAACCTTTCCTTTTTCAATAAAGTAAAAGGCCTTGGCCAATCTTTCTGTTTACAACATCAAGGTTCACAAATTTACAGTAAAATTTATTGAGTTTTGAATTAAATAAAAACAACAGTAGATTATGTAGATTATGATTGTATTGGTGGTTGAAGGAAAATGAAAATTGTAATCCAAAGGATTTTTTGGTTCATGAAAATCATTGTTGTGCATAGTCCTTAACAAGATATTACACATCATTTGGTGATGGTGAAAGGGTTATTCAAAGAATCTATTGTATTTTAGACAATATTCAAAGGATTGCAATGTGGTGGTGTTAAAACAATAATTGAAGGAGAACCAAATAATAGTAATGCGCTTTTGTTTGAATAGATGTGGTTTTATAGAGTAAAAAGACTACAGCACCACAGGTTCCCAAGTTGTCTCCAACCTCAGTACTGATGTGGCTCGACGATGCTTAACTTCTCAAATCGGACGGGATGAGGTGCATTCATCGTGATATGGCCGTAGCCATTCATTAATTGAAAATTTGGGAAATAAACAAAGTTATAAGGGATTCTGGGGAAGGAAATTAGAACGAAAAGGAATGTTGGAAGGCTTGTTGAATATCTTGGCCAACTTTTGAAGTAAAAGTACAAGATGAATGTTATTGTTAGATTACATTATAGAGATGTATTTATTCATGTATTGATGAAGAATGATAAAGTAGATGATGAATAATTAATGTTAGGAAGCATGTAATTCTAACTTTTCAAACTCTGGACAAAAGTTGAAAAACATTGCAAGAACATCCTTACTGATGTGGTACAATAATAAATCTTTGCCCTCCTCTTGAAATTGAACAGGTTTTCCAAGGTGTTTTAGCTTGTGGAAAATAATTACCTATTCTTCTCCAACTCTTCATACACTTGATGGAAAGTTTTGAAACTTTCTGGAGTGATGCTAGTGAACATTTAGAGCATACCTATGATGTTTTTGTTGCTATAGATGGTGTTCTTGATGATGAAAATATTAAAATTAATAAATTGATGAAAATATTCTGGCAGTAACAGAATCGCATCTATTTGATTGTTATATTCATGTTGATTACTAATAGATGATGTGAGTTTTAATTGTCCACTTTAACAAAATTTTCCATCAATTTAATCATTACCTTTTAAAATTTGTATTTCATTGTAAAATCCAATAAAATCTATTCATATACACTCTATATGATCCAATCATGTTGTGTTGAAAATGGTTTTCCCAGTCATGAAGAATTGACTTTGAAAATCATCAATGATGTAAATTGTTGATGAAATATTTTCTTTAATTTTTTCATCATCAAAACCCTTTTCAATCAAAAAACTCGTCAATAATTTTTTCATCACAATCGCAACAAAAGAATTGTCTTGATAGAAATTATTTATTATTTCTATGGATACTCAATAAGAAGTTAAATTTGCATTGTTTGGATAATTATTCTTCACATTCATAGATACAAGATGAGACTTTCCACAATGATACTATCGATAATTAACAACATTTTGATATCTGTTGATGAATTTAAATTATGTTGCAACATGATGAAGAAAATGAGAAATTATAATTTTGATGAAAATCTTGTTGCAAGAAAATCCTTGGATACGCTTGAATATCATCTATTAATCCTATTCTATCATAGAAGATGTTATCATGCCATCAAACAATTATTACAATTTTTAATAATTAAAAATTGCTTTCAATCTCCTCAATTCCATTTACAACACAATTATCCTTCATCACCATCTCCTCTCCACCGTCCACTCCCTCCACTCACAAAATTATTCTTCATAACTCCATCAATTGCTTCCACAATTCATCTCATCCTATTTTCTCTAAAATTTTAATTTAAAAAAATCAAAGAAAAATGTATCAAAAACTTCCACCATGGACAGGCAAAGTAATCTTACGAACCATGATACAAGAAGATCCAACTCAACAGGAGAGGATGGGTGTTGTGGGACCCAATTCAAATCCCTTCTCGATGGGCATGATGATGGATGATTTTCTTCCCGAGGTTGTGGACAAGGTTGATTTATCTTTTTATAATTATTCAGCTGATGAACGACAACAAGGGAATAATCAACAAGTAACCTCCACAGCTGCCGAGTTGGAAGAGAGAAAATTATTGGAAAATGGAATTAAATTATTACGAATGATTAAAAGTAGTTTTCAAGATATTCCAAATCAAATATTGGAAGCAGAACAAGAAATTGAATCTTTCATTCAGAATGTATATACAAAGAATGGATTTGATAGGAATGATGAATGGATTTCAAAGGCTTTTATGAGTGATGTATTGATTGATAAATTCTTTGATTGGATGATGGAACTTTTAGTTGATACGACCACTTCGAAACTAATGTACTTGTTGCATGTGATTACTGTGAATAGGACTTTTAAAGAGAATGTGAAGAGAAGACACTTGGTTCGTTTGTGTAATTATGTGCTACCTTATGAAAGGTTTGAAATACCTTTCAATTTGTACTTTGGACCATTCTTGAATGAGTTGTTGCACTTATCTTGGAATGTATTGGAAACTGTTTTAATAGATGAATTGAAAACCGCTAAAAACCCTCTCCCACCAAAGGAAAGAAACAAGAGAGGAGCTCAAGTATTATACGAGTCAAGATGCATTGATTGTTTGACATTAATTGCAACTTCCAATGAAATCTATCGACCAAAATTATTGGAAATATTTGAGGAAATTCTCAGCTCATGTGAAGATCCTTATATCACCTCTATAATTGTTGCTGATATGAAGGCCTTGAAACTAATTAATAAGAAATCATTTAGACTTATTGAGAGAGCATACATGAGTAAGGATGTGTTTGAAGATATTACTGGAACTTTTTTCGAATTTTCTCAGCAAGTTGATATGGTCGATAAAGTGAGTTTGACTGCTTCATCACTACTAAATAAGAAATTATCAGTAGAGGAATCTAAGGCAAAGAAGAGGGTCAGAAAAATTAGGGATATTGCCATTGCATCAATAGTAGAGTCAGGATTCAAATTGGCAACCTCTACACAATTTTCGGACATGAAAGGAGAATTTGATATTGACCCTAATATTTATTCAGTCGAAAAAATGTTTGAACATTTAAAGGAATTGAACTTATTGCCAATATCATCTATTGAGAGGTTAAGACCAGAAACAGAGGCTGACAAGGCAGATTTTACAAAGGTTTCTCTAATGTTATTGAGAGTAAGTTTTATTTAGTACATTCCCATTTATTTGAATGCAAACTCTGTAAAGTTTGAGTATTATTTGAGAAAAAAAGTTGTCAAGAAGGGAAATCAATTGTTAAGAGTGGATGACATTAGAGAATCGACAATTAATATCATTGATTCGTGCATGATGAGAGGGTTGACCTATTTCACACAACATGATTATCAACCACTACTCGATTATGTATTCAAAGAGAGTAGTCACAATAGATACAGATTAGATGATGTTTTATACTTTTTATCCATGGCAATTAATAGTAATTTCATGATCATCGAACGTAATTTCAGTAATTCCTTCTCTTTGAAGCCATTATACACCTACTTGATAGATATTGGAATGGCAGAGAGATTGGAACAAATAATTTTGGAAAATATGAAGATTTCTGAAAGTGAAGATGAATATTCCAAATCAATCAAAATATCCACCATTCGTGAGGCTGTTGGATTAATAGGTGAATTAGTCAATAGTAAGTAATATTAATTATTTCAAAAACTAAAATATATCCTACTATTATCTCAGACTCTTCACATGATGATATAGGAAGAGCTAGTTATCTGTTAAATAGAACAAATGTGTTGGATATTATAGTAGCTGTTTGGGTTGAATTTTCAAAGGTCCCATCTATTATGGAGGTTTGTGCTGTTGCAATGAATGGAGCTTTAAGGATGGAAAAATTGGTCCTTTCATTTATATTCGAAAAGCATTTTCTAGCCTGTATGGTTCATTCATTCGAGTTTTTAAAGCAATATCAATTGGAAAATAGCGAAGAATCTCTAGTAATACTCGATAGCATGTTCCATTTGATTCAGAAAGCTGGTTTGCCTGGTATTGTAAAGTCTTCTAAAGGTGTCTTCCCAAAAACACAAAGAAAAATAATTCAAGCCATGGAACAAGCTGGTATAATCAAGAGAGTGTTTGAATTCTTATTGGAAAGAGATTTTTCCAAATTAGCCACTGGTACAGAACCAAAAGATATTAGGGCATCAGGATGGTCTGATTCACTGGCAACCTTTTTGGCTTATCTTTCCAGAAATCCACCAACCAGAGAACATTACTATGATAATGATTTCAAGGTGTTGAGATTTTTAGTCAAGGAAGTTCTCTTTACAATTCATGATCAATTAGCCAAATATTCTGTGAATAATTTACCAGAAGCTCGCAGTTCATTATGTGCATCCTTTATTAATTATCTCTCTGTTGTTAATCATATTCTGTGGGATATTAAGGCTTGTAAATTCCTATTCGAAGATGTTAACAATAGATCTTCCAAATCTGGATTGGCATTGGAAAACATGTGCTTCTTTTGGCTTTCTAAAATGTTGGAACATGTAAAGAGAATCAAAAGACTCAATCAAGTTCAAACCTTAGTTTTTTCAAGGACACTATTTTGCACTTCATGCTTGATGGGAGATGAATCTTTTTGCAATACCTTATTATCAGATGATCAATTCCTACCTAAAATTATGGAAGTACTGAAATTTTTAACCAACAATCAACTCATGATTCCTGATATTAATTTATCCTCAGTCAAAATTATAACAGTTGCATTGAGACATGAAAGCTCAAAAGGAAAGATCAATGTTGATACACTTTTGGGATTTATTGTGAATCAGATGGATGATATGGCACCTGTGGAAACATTATTTTATGATCTCATAGGAAGTCAATTTGGAGCAGAGGCAGAGAAATTAATCAATACAAAATATACAAGTCTCAAAAAGTCATTGAATAACACTAAGAAACAAGTGGATAAATGCGCAACTTGTAAAAATCTTTGTGGTGAGAAGGGAGAGCCACTTAAAAGTTGCTCCAGATGTGGAAAAGTCAAGTATTGTTGTAGAGATTGCCAAGTTAAAGATTGGCAAAACCACAAACCGGAATGCACTAAAAAGGCTTAGGATGCCTTTATTCTTGATGAGTTTCAGCTTGTGATGAAGATATTCACCATTTATCAGCAATTTCATCATGAAATACATAGATAATGTTTAATAGTAGCAATTTCAAATGAACGTTGTTCTTGTGGAGAGTGGAATTGTTTGTTAAAAACCTTAAAAAAATACCTCAACAAGTATTAAGGCTCTTCTGTTGAAAAAATTTGACAAAATCGGTTTGAAGAAGAGTTTCATTTATCGGAAAGTTTGTTAAGGGATGGAAAGAACAATAATTATATTGGATGATTCTTTGGGAAGTGAGGCTCTTAAAGAACGTTATCTTGATGAACGTTTTGAATGGAAGTGTGATAGGTGTTTATTGAATTCTTTGGATTTTTCTAACGTTTATTATTCAATGGATGAGTTTCTTAGATTAATAGACAATTTGAAAGATAATCGATTCTTTTCGGAAATCATCTTGAAGGCTGTCTCTTATGTTCCTTATGTTGTTTCTAAATGCTCTCCAAACATGATGAAACCATACTATGTAAGAGAGTTGATCAGTAGAAATGTTTCATGTTACAACTTTTTGGAATTGCCTTATTATTCCAATGACAGGGAATGCCTTTTGAAAATAATAGCCAATACTAATTATTGTCAGATATTGGGTCAAGCTAGTGAAGAGTTGCAAAACGACAAGGCTTTCATTATGGAAGCCATTGAATGGAATTACAAGTGTTACTATTATTTGAAGGAAAGAATGAGAAAGGATAGAGATATTGCCTTGTTAGTAGTCTCAAAGGAAGGATACATGTTGGAAGATTCTGATATCAAGCACTGCTTTAGTGCAGATAAGGAGGTTGTTAAAGCTGCTGTCATGAGTTCACATTCGGCAATCATGTTTGCCAGTTCAAAATTGAAGGAAGATCGTGAATTTTTCAAGAATGATATTCTGCCTTTTGATCCTTCACTATTTAGATATGCTCACTTACAATTGAGAAGTGATATTACTTATATTTCAGAATTAATTGTTAACTTTCCGCAATGTATTCAGTATGCTATTAGTAATATTCAAGGAGATATTGAATATGTTTTGGAACTCATCAAAATTAATCCACTAGTTGTATTGTATGCAAATTGGAAGGAATTATCGACAGAATATGCTATCAAGAAGATTACACAACACGACCTTCCTGATTCAGTAATTAGCTCAATCTATGAAGAACTAGATGACGATTATGCTCTTGATAGTTTTGTAATGAGGAGCATACAAAGAGATCCAAAAACATTGCAATTGTTCCATCTACACAAAGGTTGTTTGCAAGTTGTTTCACATGCCGTCCAAATTGATGGTCTCACTTTGGAATATGCCGAGCGTCGTATTAGAATGGAGAAGGATATTGTAAGGAAGGCTTGCAAACAAAATCCAAACTCCTTCAAGTTTGCTGATCCAACTCTAAGGCAAGATTTGGAGTTTGTCTCTGAATTGATTGAAAAGGTACATCCAACTATAGTTTTTCATGCTTCCTTGCTTCCAAAAATTCAAAGAGATGTGATTAAAAAAACATTACTCAATAACCCAAAACTCCTTAAGGAAGTCAACTGGTGAGAAAACTAGAGTTTGGAAACTCTTTGAGAATTAGGATATTTAAGCAGAGTGGTATCTTTCCTGACAATGGTTCCATTAATAATAAATTCATAAACCTGCTCCCATAAAAATGTAGAATCTCTTACGTATTTTTTGAATAGGCCTACATGACCGACTGAAATACTCTTTCTTGGATTTGTTTCTGTACTTTTTGTCACTGGTAAAGGTGTTTTGAATAACTCGTAGTGATATTCCTTACACTTTCCATAAAATTTCTCATTGAACTTTTCAATAGAATATTCATTACCATAAATGTCATCATCAAATAACCAAGTCAGTATTTTAACATGTGAAATAGCAACGGGGACAACAGGGTCATTGAATCCAATTGGTTTGTTTGGGTCTTGTACGCAGTGAGAAAGAAAATCATTTCCACAATGAACCATATACTCCTTTTGATGTTGAAAATAGTTCCACTGTTTTGCTACTTCAGTTGGCAGATCTTCCATTATTTTCCAAAATGTTCCTGAAGGGAAATAATTATACAAATACGAAAGAATTGGAATACTATAGAAGAATAATCTAACATTAATGTAATTCCACAATGATTCCCAATTTCTGAATGGACTACTATAACCAAAGTAAGCATGATAGCTTGAGGCCAAGAATGCTCGATTGACAAGCTTTCCCAAATGTGGAGGGCAAGTCATAAGCAAGTAGGCTCCAATAGAGTGACCTACGACTGTCAATTCCATCTCACACGTTGATGCGTGTTGTGAGTGATATTCCTTAACATGTTCCAACATTCCCCAGAAATCTTTAGCAAAATCCAAATATGAAACATCCTTCTGAATTGGTTTTTCAGTATTCCTAGATTTTCCCATTCCTCTATAATCATACGTAAATACAATCACATTCTCCGATTGACCAGCAAGAAATTTAGCAAAGGACAAGTAAAAAGTCTGATGAATACCTGTAGCACAATTAATAATTACATAATTAATTTTTCTTTTCATTCCCAAAGACAAGTTTTTTGAATCTTTCTCTTGTTGTTCATCTTTCTTATCTAATTTATTTAGTGGTGATGATGATGGCTTTGATGAAGAAGAAGAAAACAAATGGCCAACCAACGGATAATGATCAATTGCTGATTTAAATTCGAATACAATCGGGTGCATTTTTTTCCTTGTTATGACGAAAATAAATTATCGGAATTTTTCCTTGTTTGATCGATTTGATGAAAATTATTATTTGATGGTGTGAATATTTTCCCTCCAAAGAAAACCATTTTAATAAAATGTTATTTTGTTTGTTAATTTTAAATAAAAAATCAAAACCCACCCAATATTTCGCGCTAAACAAATATTTAGCACATCTCCCGTCATGTTTCTCAAGATTCATCATCATTAAAAAAATTATCATCACCATCACAACAACATGAAGGTATTGCTCCTATCGCTTGTTGTATTGTGTGTATTATGTAGCAGTTATAACTTGATGATCGGTGGTGCTTTGGGAGAAACAAATGCGCTCTCGTATCCACTTCCAAAACTCTCGATCGTTCCTGGTACTTTGACTGTGAGTGGGTTATCATCGGGAGCCTATATGGCTACACAATTTCATGTTGCTTTCAGTAAGACTGTTAGAGGAGCTGGAGTATTTGCTGGAGGACCATATTATTGTGCTCAGAATGATTTTGCAAAGGCTAATGCTGGATGTATGAAGGTGGCAAGTATGATTGATTTGGATTCTATTCAAGCCAATGTTAAAGAGTTTGAAAGACAAGGGTTAATTGATCCAATTGAAAATTTGAAAGGTCAATCCGTTTACTTGTTTAGTGGACTTAAGGATTATGTTGTATTTCAGGCTGTAATGAACAAATTGAAAGATCAATATTCGAAATATTTCGGAATTACTAGAATAGTTGCTCATTTTGGTTCAATTGCATCTCATGCTATGATTACCAATAATTATGGTGGAAAATGTGATTTCTTTGGTGTAGGTTTTATTATTGATTCAATTGTGAGATGTTAATAATTTTTTTACTGAGCTAGTCACCTTTCATTAATAATTGTGATTATGATGCAGCATCAGAGGTATTCAGCACACTTTTAAAGGAATATAATGGAACTTCAATTCCACATGTTGAGGAGAACTTTTACATGTTTCCACAAAAGGATAAATATTTAGCTAGTTCATTCGATGAATATGGATACATTTACATTCCAAAAGCCTGCAGAACTACTCAATGTAGAATTCACGTCGTTTTCCATGGTTGCCTACAAGGAAGAAGTTCTATTGGTGATGTTTATGCTAAAAATGCTGGCTATTTACAACATGCAGAGCTCAATAATTTAATCATTCTCTTCCCACAAGTAACTACTCTTGCCAAAGTCAACCCTAACGGATGTATGGATTGGTGGGGTTATACCAATGAAAAGTATGCAACCAAAGAAGGAGAACAATTGGTAGCTGTTAGGAACATGTTATTGGATTTGGGAGTTACTGATTTTTAAAATAAAATTATCCAAAAGAAATCAGTTTATTCTTGTGACATGATCTTAATGAGCTCGTATACTGTAATGGAAAGAGCTGAAGTACTAGACATGAAAATAGTATTTGGAAGAATTCCCTTAGTGAAACCTTTCCATCCCTCTTGTTTCCTCAAGTCACGTATCAATTTCCAAACTGATGTTTTCTCTCCGTCTGTCTGGAGCCTAGTTTTAATAACATCCATAGGATTGAATAAAACTGCACATGATAAACCTGCAGCAAATCCACCCAATGACGATGATAAAATCTGATGTTTGAAGAGGTGGTTTTTCTTCTCTTCTTCACCTAGTTGTTTAAAATAGAAATTTCTAATGAGGCCATACTGAGTCCACCAAACAGCACTCTCTGGGGCATACTTTGCCATGGTCATTCCATAGCCTCTGAATAGTCCTTTAAATCCTTCTTTGTGTACGATATCCTTGACAATGTGAGTGACGGATTGGTCGTGTGAAATCATTCTCCTCTGTGAAATGACTTCAAACGGAACCACCAACACATTGGCAACAACATCAGCACTAAATCCAGCCAATAGATATCTGGTTGTTAAATTCATTCGATCCACTAGTTGTTGATTTGATAATTCATAAGTGCTCATATACAAATTTTCCGATGTTAAACCTCCAGCCCAACTCACTAGAAAACCTCTATAAAGAGCTCTGAATGATGATTGTTTCACAAGATTTCTTAAAATTGATAATTGAGTCAAATGACCATCTCTGTGAACTTGTTGATGTGTTTTAATTAAATCAAAAGGATAGAAAACTACTTGTGTTGCTGTTGATGCTATAAATCCATAGGCATAATATTTGAACTTGTTCATATCATTCCAAGTGACTTCGTAACGAGGTTTTCCACCAACTACATCCTCCGATGATGCATTATTATTTAAATCAGTAGTAGTAAGTATCCTTGTTATTTTCTATTCCTATTGTTCCATCAATATTATCCTTATTATCCATAGTCATGTTGATTTAATTTTTTAAATTGATTGTATTGAGAAATTAAGTGTTGATAAAAATTGGTTCGTCCGAGCACAGTTTCATCCAATCAATTTCATTTGTGTGAGATTGGATGCTGTAGTGATGATGTGAAGGCTTTTTTTCGCTCCTCTATTTTTTTCAGTGATGACGATTGATGAAGACATGATTACTAAAGATTTGATGAAATTTACAATAAAAATGAATACACAAGTGCTCTCCAAATACATTGAATCAAAGGATGAAGATGAACAATTGTTGATTTTGTATCAGGTGTTTAAAAATTATGATTTGGACGGAAATAATGCGATTGATAAGAGGGAATTGATTCCATTCTTTATGGATTTTTTGAAGGGTTTGTACTTGTGATGAATTTAATTATAGTTGATCATCATGTGATTAATATTAATTGATAATATATGGAAAATGTGGAATATATTGTGATGATGAATAATCATACTAGTATTGGGAATGGATCCATCTTCGATTACTCCGGATGATGTCAAGAAATTTATGAGTGGAATTGATTCGGATGGAAATGGTACAATATCATTTGTAGAATTTACTAATTGGTTTAAAGATGCAGTGTTAGGATTGATTCCTCCATCAAAGAAAAAGAAGAAGAAGAGAACTCTTCTCGATTCATATCTTGCTGAAAAGAATACCACCAAACAAGTTGAAGTTTTACAATCAATTTTCAGAAAGTACGATACTAATGTGGATGGTAAAATAGATAGAGATGAATTTGATCAATTCTTAACAGATTTATTCAAACAATTTGAATTGGGAATACCAAGTGGAGATCATGTAACATACTTCTTCGATGTAATTGATACTGACAAATCTGGTGGAATAACCATTAACGAAATAGATGTTTGGTTACGAGAGAATATTGAAAAGTTCACTCATTAATTTATTGTAATTTTATTGTAAATTGTACAACAAAAAATTAATTTGTTATAATAATTTATATTGATTTTGTTTTGAGTTGAGCCTAATTAAATAATGTATTTGCTGAAGAGAAATTAACTCAATTCTGATTTAGATCAGTTTCAACCAATATTTATATAATCATAAATTTTCAAACACCCTGATCCAATTACAAAGGGAGCTGTCTTTGTTGTCTTTGTGAAGGCGAGCAAGTTCAGTAGCATTTACAGAATGAGAGATTAAAGGTATTAGACCAGGATTGAATTTGGCTTGTAAATTTCCTCCATTTTTCCATTCTTTCTGATCTTTCAGATAGATTTGCAATGATGGATTTCGAGTGAATTCAAAAGCTTCTCTTTAGGATTTTTCAATTGTGAACAATAAATCTCTCGGAAAAACAACTTGTTTCGGAATAATGACAACTGGCATTTGCTCACTAGATGATTGACCACCAGAATTTTGTCCAAGAATTTTGATGATCAAAATTATTTTCTCTATTTAAATGTTCTTTTGCAATAATCGACACGACTTCTTGTGGCAATACAAACAGAGAGGAATCATTTTTTTTAATTAATAATTGTAATAATTATTCGAAATGTTTAGTTTATAATTGTTAAAAGTGGAATCTAAGAATAAACTACATTTTGGAAAGGTCTCTTTCGAATACTCTTTCGCATAACATTCTTCCATTAAATCTGCTCACTCTATTAGTTTGATAGGTGAGATAATTTCTCGAATCTCTCAATTCGAAACCATTATTTCCCAACAATTCCCACAAGGCATGAGTACTATCAGTCATGGCATATGGAACTGCATACGAATCATCAGTTTGACTCATATCCCTCGCCCAAATCAAATTTAATTCGAAATCTTCAAAGACAACTTGAGCAATTTGTTGACCTTCCAAATATTCTGAATTATTTGGATAAGAAACTCCAAATAATTCCTTAAAAACTGATGGAGCAATTCTCAATGCTTGGAAAACATCTTTTGGTCCAATAATTTCTCTCACATTAATGTACTGTTTCGTTGACTTTTTTGCGTGAACCTTATTGACCTCTCCTCCAATCACTGGAATGGAACTGTTTATTCCAGGAGGTGGTGGTGGAGTAAATCCTTGAGAAGTACTAATAATGCTGTTATTGCTTGGTGGAGGTGGTGGAGGCATTTGTTGGTTGACTTGTTTTTTTGAAGTTGGTTTTGGGTTGTGTCATGTTATTGGACTCGTATTTATAGAGTTTAGTTTATCATGATAACATGGTACAGTTGGTAAAATGGAATCAGAAATCACGGTTAAATGAACCCCAAGGTTCTTTTGTTACTTTGAGTTGAACTGGAAAGAAGAAGAAAAGAGGTGCAACACGGCAATCTATCCTACTATTGCAATGAATCCTGTTACTATAAAAGGTGCACTACTTTTATTTCTATTGTTTTTCACAATATCTTGTTTTTGTACATGTAGTACATCTGTATTCAACATGAATGAGTTCCCGCCAAAAAACAATTAAAATGTTATATTGCAAATTAATAAAAACAAGATTGAGAACAAGTAATTATACTAATGGGTATTAAAGCTCAGGGACTGTGTTATAGGCGATAAAAACTCGCATGAAGACCCAGGCAGTTAAATTCGTTGGTATGAACCTTCCAGGCGAAAAATACTTCTAGGATAGATTCCATTAAAAATATCCATCCCTAAAAGTCTGCTATATTAGGGATGGAATTAGACCTTGCACAAATAGAATCCAATTAGACAAAACTTATCTGTTAAGGTAGGAATTATCATTAAAATGATAAGTCTCATTAAACAAGCTATATTAGCATGAATTTAGAGCCATTATGTGTAATATCTTGTTTTATGAACCTATTCAATATCTACTAGGATTTTATGAATTATCAAGTATTAAAGAAGTATATTTAATTGGTAAATAATCACAGATTAGTTTTTAAAAAATTAAAATCTCCAATTCAATGAATTTTACACAATAAATTAATGTGTGATACAAAAGTACAATGAAATTTATTATTTTGATGTTTTGACTTGGTGAACATCTGGTTAGGCTGAGAACTTGCATGTTTTGAGAGAAATTTAAGATCTTTATGATCTCATCGAAATAAAACGAAATATTTGATATGGTACCATCTACAATAATACTAATAACAGTTTATTAATGTTTCAAGAAGTTTGGCTATATACTTTTGGCATGAATCATGATTTGTAAGCATGAATATTCCGAAGTTGGTAAAACAACAAAATGATGAAAAACTGATAATAAATATATTGTTTATTATGTATTTGAATAGTAGTTATGAAAGACATTTTCCAAGTTGGTGAAGTACATGTTGAGTTATGGTCCATGTACATGTTGAAAATATACATGAACCTATCATGATGATAACCAATAGGAAAATGTTCGGAAGTGATTTTACCTGATGGAATCGACCATGCTGAACAATACTAGATTGAAAGTTTTCCAAATTACCATATGAATCTGGCAGTGATGATGATTTTAGTGAAAATATTGAATTTCACTAAAATATTACTATTATCAGATTTATTTCCACAAATATTACTATTATAATGATGATAAATAACAATGATGATGGTTGGAAGTTGTTCCGATGATGGTTTACCAACTTGAATTTTTCCCAAGTGAAAATTAAATTCCAAATTTATAATCACAATCCAATAATAAAAACTACTACCAGTAATACTATTAGGATGATGTTGAGATGATGATGTGAAAGTTTGGTGGATTCATGGGGTGAAATCACTCTGAAAATCACCAAAGTGTTCCCAATGTGTGTTTGGGCTGAAATATTTTTTCTTAATGGTGGAAAATAATGGAACGTGTATTTGTTCGGTGTTATTAATACATACAAGGCAACACCAAGAACTTTTGTCCATCAAATAAGCACCCTACTATTTTCGCCTAGACATTTTAGGCTATTTTTTTTGGCCTAAATATTTTTTGCCTGTTTTTCAGGCGAAAAAAGTAGCCTAGAACACACAGTAAAGATGCTTCTATCAAATGTTGCTGAGTTGGCCAATGCTGTTGGCTCGGATTCGTCCGTTGGTTTATTCGGATATCCAATAATGATTGTTTCACTTATTGGAATGTTGGGTTCTTTCGTCTTGTGGTATGCAAGAATGATTTTTGGCAGTTTATTGTTTAGATGGATGTTTTATCAATTAAATTTGTCTGATACTTGCATTGAATATGCTTGGTTTAGTTTGTGGTTTTCACACCATCCTTATACCAAAAATGGAAGTACTCATGTTAAACCATTCCAAAAAACAACCAAACTTAGAGTTAATAGAACAAATGAACCAAAGGAAGAAGACTCAATTGCCACTTCCAATATTTCAGAAATGATTTCCAATTTGAAAGTCAACTTTGTTCCAAGTTATGGAATTCACATCTTGTACAGAAATTCTGAACCACTCATAGTTTCCATTTCCATTAATACCAATCAAAATAATAATGCCTACAACACAGAGGAGAAAACTCGTGAAGATATTGTCATTTGGAAACCAAGACATTTCCTCACTGATTACCTTATCAAATTTTTATTTCCATGTCAAGATGGAGTGAACAATTGTAATTCAGTAATTGATATGTTGGAAAAGGCAGGAGTTGCCAAAGAGTTCCTCTCCTTTAATCCAACCTATCCTCAATCTATTGAGAATGCCTACTCTGTATTTCGTGAATTATTGTGTGACTGTTTCTATGTCCATACTCTCATGACCAGAGAAAAGACCACAATTTACACACCTTATTTCTCCCAATGGTTTTGGCATCTTTCA